TGATAATAAAATACATCATTTCCTCATCAATTGTTACTTGATGACAACAGAAGTGGACATGTTTTTCTAGTGTGTCCTGGGTTTCTACAATGCCCACATCTTCTGTCTTGTCTAGATATTTCTCTAATATCCATATCGCAATGAATTCGATTGGATTTTGGACGACCACGCTCCCTCAATAAACTCGGATTTGGTATAATCGGAAGCCAGTCTTGAACCTCATCAGGGTCTTTGTCATTACCTATGGGGGGAAACTCAAATTCGTATACCTTTAAAACTTCAGATAGTAGGTATACGGGATCCACAAAATGGTTATAGTCTTGACGTGTATGTGAGCAAGCTGCTATCACATGAGAGCATAGATACTTCAGAGCTTGAAAAAACCCGCAGTCACACGTTATGTCCCTCAGATTTACTCTTAACGACACAGCTTCAATCCCTTGAAGAGGTCGCGGTAACTCTGTGACACGAAACATTTCATGCCTTCTAGAGAAGCTTGTTACAGACATTCCATTTGATGCATCAATTTTTTTCTGTAGATCTGCAACTAATCTAGTGTGATAGACATGACCGCCTTGCATCCAGGTTTGAGCTTGTCCCCCAAGTTTCGCAAAAAACGCCCCCAAACAAAAATATGTAGTCTTTACCAAAGTCGCTATAGGTAAGTGACATGCACCCTTTAAGGTTGAATTGATTGTCTCTGCCAAGTTGGTCGTCATGTGTCCATATCGATATCCACCATCATATGCGTTCGTCCACATTTCTTTATCGATGAGGCTGATGTAATCATATCCTTCCTCGTTATTTGCCCGCAACTCTTGAAACATTGATTCAAACGTTCGAGGAAGTAGTTCGTAACCTGATCAAAAAATATATAACTTACTAACTTGCTGTCTTTGCAAAATTAAAACGATCGAAAGATAACAAACTTGCTAAGTTTCACTTACCCATGCACACAATTAATTGACGCTCATCATTCTTCTTGTACCTTCCATGGTAGTTCGCGGTAATGTGTCGAAGACAATACCTATGTTGGACAAAAGGTGGTTGCCACATTGGACCCAAAGACTCCATTGCTGCTTTGATCCCAGCTCCGCGATCTGAAATGAGACAGATGTTTTCCCTCGTGATAACATGTGCCCGTAAATTTCGGAGGAAAAAAGCCCAAGAAGTTGTATCTTCTCCTTCGACAAGAGCAAAAGCAACTGAAATAATGTTGCGATTGTCATCTTGGACAACTGCCAATAATAAAACTTGCTTGTATTTTCCATAAAAGAAAGTCCTGTCGATCTGGACCACAGGCTTGCAGTATTTGACAACATTAACGCACTATGGGTAACTCCAAAAAACCCGGTAGAATTGGCATCGATCACGAAGAACTCGATCATTATGGTATGCATAGGAGGTTTCGAAGTCCACAATTGTCCCAGGATTCAACGTCCGCACCAGCCTAAACCAACCTGGAAGTTCGTTGTAAGATGCATCCCATTCGCCATGAAGTTTGACATTGGCATTTTGTTTTGCCAACCAAGCTTTTTTATAGGAGACAATGTACCCATACTGCGATTGTATAGCTGAAATCAACACTACAACAGCTATATGAGAGCTTGCTTTGACCATGGGCATGATGGCTTGGCATATCACTTCAGAGTCCAAGTTGGGATGATCTTGGTTGACCCTTCCAGCACAACATGTGTGAGGACCGTTGTATACTGTTAGTTCTCATCTGTTGTTTTTCCTCTTCCTCTTCCTCTTCGATAAGCGAACCATCCAATTGCATCCGTTTTCACGCTGGGCACAGTAGCATACATATTTTTCGGTCGTGGAGCGGTCTACTCTAGACTGAACAGAATTACGAATATTGTAATTTTTGATAGCCATCATCGCTTCTTCTTTGCTTGAAAACTCCATGCCTAAAGATAACTCACCATTATTTATTGATGAGTAATACCCATAGTCACCGAGATGAGACATATCCGCAAATTCTGGCCCATACATTGCACCATAATCAGTTTCATACATGTGTGCATGAGGGTCAGTTTGTGCCACATTTCCTGGAACTTCATCATTATCGGAGTTGAATTGCGGTGATTATGGGTCAATGAACAGTCCAGTCTCAGCATCATCTGCACCAGGCTCACGAAGCGGTTTTTCTGGTGGAGATGATGGTTCCTCCATGCTCTCCACATTTAGGTCGAAGAACCTATTACTTGCACACCTTCCCCTTGAACTGGAAGGCATATCGACATTGAGATCGAAAAGCTCGCAGTCGAATGCCTCCCCCTAGAGCTTGAAGCCATCGCGTCAAATGGAAACTGCACAGATGGTTGCGTCGATGGCATCTCCATATTAAGGTCAAAGGGATTTGCAGATGAATGCATTCCCCTTGAACTTGACGCGATGTTGCCATACGGATTGTTCGTCGACCTACCTCGGTACATATCGTAAGGAGTTGCGGATGAATGTATCCTCATTATGGCATTAAAATCATTACACATTACTGTCGTCGGGCTGTCAACTTGATCAACTTGTTCAGTCAGCCCATAGTGGGAGCTTAATGATTGACCCCAAACAACACACACTTAAACAAAATATGCATACATCTCAATAGCGGCGTCTGAATAATTACTTTGAGCTTCAATCATCATTTCAACATCATCATTGTTCGAAAGTTCGAACGTTGTATAAGTTAATGGCAACGATGATGTTGGAAATCTATACTGCAACGACGACACTCTTCTACTACTTCCAATATGAATCTTCCTCGAAATCTTCGTTATAAGATCCTCAAGAGTTATGTTTCTCTTGAATGATATTTTAACACGCTCATTTGATACGAAAACAACGCCGGTTTCATCTTCTCGAATTTCACCATCATAATAAACAATAGCTGAAAGTCGCGCCATTATTTGAGTTTAAAAGAGTGGCACTATTATATCTGGAAAAAAAAATGAAACAAACCTAATTTAATAAATTATATATGAACAAACATATAACACAATAAATTTTTTTACAAATCAACGTAAATAAATTAAATAATATAATTTAATATTATTACCTGCACCGTAAAACTATTTCGACGTATGCTCCCGCTTTCCAATTTTACAAACACAAAAATTAATTAAAAATAATTAGTATAATATTTTTTCAAATAATCATAATAACAATAAATATAAAAAATTATAACAAAATTACCTTATAACGAAAAATCGCACAAACTTCTAAATAAAATATGAGAAGATTGCCAGAATTATTGACTCGTTGACGGAATTGCTGTATTAATTTATAAGTTGAGAGGAGAGATGTGAGAAATTAACCGGCGGAGAATGGTATTTATAGCGAGAAAAGTTATACAAAACGCGATACCTGCCCCGCGCTATATAAAATTATGGAGTAAAGGTATGTCGCGGTACCTTCCCTGCGCTATATAAAATTATTAGGAGTAAATGTATAGCGCAGTACCTGATCCGCGCTATACCCCTACGTGGCGTATAGCGCGCTGCAGGGGCCGCGCTATACCCACGTGGCGCCAGCTCACCGTATAACGCGGTGCAGGGGTACGCTATACCCCACGTGGCGCCAAATCATCGTATAGCACGGTGCAGGGCGCGCGCTTTACTGCTAAGGGTGTTAGATCGAGAAATATAGTCTGACCTGTGTTAGATCGATAATATTACCGGTCACCGGTGATATATCGGGAAAATCGCCGGGGAAACATTGGCTACTTTATTGTTATATATAGGTTTTCTTTATAAAGTATAATCTTACTTGGATTTTAAATTTTAACATTAACAAATGTTAAGTCTTTATAAACTATTAAATAATATATTAATTTTTAAATCGTATTAATTGATCGAGTAATTAAAAATATTTATATTATTTTATTGTGTATAAATTTGAATCCGAATATTTATTTTAAAAATATAAATATTTCTCTATTTAATAAAAATAATAATATATTAATTTAAAAATAAAAAAATCATAGAAAGCTGCCAACATATTTTAAAGAAAAAGAAATGAAGGGGGTAGTGAAGCGAAATCTAATAAGATAAACCTAACTGCTAGTAGTTTTTTTTTACCATAATATGAAATAAAGGCAATGTTTATACAAATATTATTTTATTTTGTTATAATAATTATTGTTGGAAGAAAATTATTAGTTGACTAACACTCAATATATTTTACTGACGTGACAATTTTACATGTATTTAATTGTTAACATGTCACATATTACGTCACCAAAATGATAATATAGTATGTGTCACGTTATCTAAAGTAATGATGTAATATATGCCACGTACCTAAAGTGATGATGTAGTATGTATCACATTACTAATAAGCACATGTGAAAATTTAATGCTAGCAACTTACGTGGATCGTTAGTAAAATAATAGTTTTCTAAGTGTGTTCATTGTTCGATTTTAATCGAATTAACCAAACGAATTGAAATTTTGTTTGACCTCAATCAATTAATAACATGTTAAATCAATTAACGGCGAATAAATTTTTCAAAGTTTGATTATTAATTAATTCAATTCAAAATTGATTAATTAATAGTAAATATTATATATATTATTTATGCAGCTATCAAAACCGCCAAAAATAAACCTTGCTTAAAATAACTTATAGTAACGTAAGCATGGTCAAATCCACGGAGAGTGATGAAAGATTAATTTTATTAATAAACGAATAGTGAAAATATCACATGAATAATATGCATTGATTAACTAATATTTTTCATTTAACGATGACCATTTCGATTAAATTTTGAAACATTGAAGGTTAAAATACTTAAAAAAAAGACGTTAAAATGATTTTTATGTTTAACATTGAGGACTAATTTTGACATTAGGACGGTCTAAAATTGCAACATTCCCATGGTTGAACTATTTATTGTATATTCATTCTTCGTCAATGCTTACAGTTATTTGCAGTGTATGGCACAAGGTGCAGATATGGTGGAAGAAGAAGAAGAATAAGAAGAAGAAGAATAAGAAGAAGAAGAATCTCCATCCCCCACAACAAAGAAAAGAAAGTTAACAATAATTTCGAATGAGTTAGAGATTTTGTCAAAAGGCCATCATCATCCTTGCGAACTCCTCGTAGCTCACTACTCCATCGCCATCTAAGTCTGCCTCTCTGATCATCTGCTCTGCTTCTTCCACTGTTAATCTTTCTCCCAAATTCATCATCACTTGTCTCAACTGAAACCCACAAGTGGGATTTTATCAAACATTAATTTCCTCAAATTAAAATTTAAAAACTCGGAATAAGTTAGTGGGAACGTTGTTTTTTTTACCTCGCTTGCTGATATGAATCCATCTTGATCTCTGTCGAACACTTTGAAAGCTTCTTGTAGTTCATCAATCACATTCTCCTGTTGGGTTTATGTACATGCATCACTCTCCACTTTATAAGATGAAAGAAATTGCACTGCACTTGCAAATAAAATGGTTGAATTTACCTTCATTTTTCCAGCCATGATATTTAAGAAATCATCGAAATCAATGGTCCCATGTCCTTGAACATCAACCTCACTAATCATGCCTTGAACTTCTTCTTTTGTAGGGTTTACGTCTAATGCCTGAATCACTGTTGCCAATTCTTCCATGGTTATGAAGCCTGCATCATATCAACTTAGACGTAAGAAAAAAAAGGGTAAATGGTAAACAGTAAACTTGGTATTTTTCCTGATTATTTTAAGGAATGAAATGACATACCATCTGAATCTTTATCAATCAAGTTAAAAGCTTCACGAAACTCGGAGATTTGATCTTGTGTCAGTGTATCTGCCATGCTGGTGAATTTGGTAGGCAAAAACTGATGGAAACTGGTTGAATTATGAACAGAAGAAGGGAATAAGATGCCGAGTCCATATGTCGGATCGCATATAAATAGGGAATCGGTAAAGGGATTGTAAATAGTCAAACGCGCTCGAGTTTTGAATTCCATTCAAAGCATTAAAATTTTCTAGAGAATTAATGGGGCCTTGAATCGATTCCCGGGAAATAACGTTTAACATTTCAATGCAAAAAATTCTTCGCGCTGGACCTGGCATTCCCTGATAAAGTCAGCTACACCCGAATTCAGCTCCATTAGTACAATTACTTTTAATTCGAATGGATTAACGTGACAATCTTTGATTAAGTAGATCTGAAAATCGTTATGCAATTTTTTAGGGCAAATTTTGAATTTCTTCACTCAACTTTTTGTTCATTCTTATTTTAGTCACTAAAATTATAATTTTCAATTTAGTCATTGAAGTGTCGGTTTACTCCTATATTGCCCACTCTACCATTAAAAACTTAACGACATTATGACCAGACATTGTGTTTTTAAAAGAATATGAATTTCCTTCAAACATTCTTCAATTTTGTGAAAAAATCCCTAGTTTTATATTACTTTTTATTTCTCTATGATGGAGTATCTTTTTCCAAATCTCAATAGTGGGAAGTTGGAGGAGGATGAGTTGTATATCTTGATTTTGCATTGGCCAAATGATGGATATTATAAATAATAGTGGTTTATGGTTTTATGAGTTTTGGATTTAGCGTTGAGTTTTGTGAGTTTTTAAAATGATTTTGAACAAAAAAAAAATAAATTGACAGAGTGATAGTAGACGATGATGAGAGTTTGTTTGTGTCTTGAGTGTTCGAAGAAGACGCCAAAGAATGGTAATTGCAGCGCCGGTGTGACAAAGTGGTGAAATTATATAACTTTTATCTTTGGGGGAAGAAGAAAAAATAAAATAAAATAAAAAAGGAAAATGACATGGATGCATGGATTCCTTACAAATAAAAAGCAGTCCACACGGGACACGTGGTTTTCATATCACCCTTCCATTTATGATTTAACATGTGAGTGCTCAAACTAGGAACATGTTGAAAGTTTAATAAGTAAATTGAAAACTTTTTACTCCAATTATCAAACTGCTAGTAAGAATAAATTGAGTGATTAAATTTGTAATTTACCTTTATTATTATTATATAAGTTTTGACTTATTTAATTTAGTCTTTCAAAATTAATTTAAAAAGCGAGTGAAAGAAAGGGATTCAACTAATTGTGGTCAAACAGATTGGTGTAAGATAATGTTTTTTCTTAGCATATGCATCCGAATTCACACTGATGAATTAGCATACTATAATGTAGATTTCCTTCCTTGGCAAGAATAATGGCTAGAATTGGAAGCCGTGCAATGCAAACCATATAAACAGTCATTACACTTATTTTCTTCATATATATATAAAACAAATTTTCTTACGCGTTGCGTTTCGAACATGAATACTTTTCTAGACGTTATACAAACTTATATTTTTGGCTTATAATTTTCTTCTTTTTTCTTACGTTTGAAGATTTTGATTTCCTTTTATTTTTGTAGAAGTGCAACTCACTTCAAAATATCATCAGAAGCGGGTAATGAAAATGCTCATGCAATGCAATGCAATAACAAGCATTTGCCAATTAACCTCTGGTATGTTACGGAAAGCCAGTATGAACACCCAGAAAACCCACATGCCTAATAGGAATAGAATTCCTCTGCCTTTTTTATGTGTCTTTTCTGTTGTCCAACACGAAGCATCCATGAGAGACAGGGAGAGAGAGAATATACGAGTAGCAATCAATGAAGGTAATTTTATTAGATTAATCGTATCAGTGTCAAACAAGTAACACTATGATTTTCCTTCCCTGGCCTCTAATTCTATCATTTATCAATTCTAACTTGTTCAGTTTCTAGGTTTTTCGCCTTCAAGTTAAAATGATGACTTTTATTTCCATTTCTCGTATTTTTGGCCTTCTGAAGTTTTCTTCATCGTTTTAAATTTAAAGCTTTGATTTTGTGATATGAGTTCTGAGTCAGAATTGGACATGTAAATTTTTTAAGTTATACATTAAACATTCTAAGAGGCCGCCATGTGTTTGTTGAAATGTCTAAGTGAATTATTTGGCTTATTCTGAAAACTCTGGTTCTGTAGTTTCAATTTTTTTTATCAAAATATTAAGAAATAAATCAAACTAAATTGTGATCTGATGAGATTGAAAAGAAGGAATGAAATTCTAATCATGCTTTTGGGCTTTGGCTCGCTGCCAATGAAAATGACGAAGATAATATTTGAAGTTATGTTTGGCTTAGATTCTTTCCTCAGTTAAAAGATATAAACTCAAGATTTAGCAAAAGAATCACAGTGGTTTTAGACAAAAATTATTTGATAGATAACAATTATTTTGGATCTGATGTCTTGACATTTTCATTATTACCATTTCTTGTGAAAGTTTGAAAACAAATAAAAAGGGGGGAAATTCCAAAACAGTAATCAATTAATTTTCGAGAAAATAACCTCAGTGACCAAAAATCCCATATAATATACGATTTAACCAACTTTTTCCGCATTTTCCAAAATGACCAACAAAATCGCAATGCGATCGCTAATTCGCAACGCGATCTCCATTATCGCAAATTCACGTTGCATTTCGCGTTGCGATAGTTGGAAATCGCGTTGCGATGGTATACAATGTCGTTGCGATTTTCCCAATTCGCAATGCGAATAAGTAAATCGCAACGCGAATTGGGAAAATCGCAATGCGATACTGACTATCGCAATGCGATACTTACTATCGTAATGCGATAATACAAAATCGCAACGAGATACTGACTTTCGCAACGCGATTCTGACTTTCGCAACGCGATTTACATAGCGCCATTCGTATTAACGCGTATTTTTTTTTTCAAATTCTAAACACGAATTTTTTCTTAATAAATCAGAAACTGAACCGTCCACAGTAATCGCAACTCATAACCTCAAACCCAAAAACACAACACTCAGTCCCATCTCCATCTCTCACTCTCTACGGTGAAATCCGTCCCCATCTCCGAAGATTTCTGTCCCCATCGCCGGCGAAATCCCTCACAACCATTCACAGTCAAAAATCCCTCACAATCATTCAGAAATGGAAAATCAACCTCTGAGGGTTAGTTTTTTTTTATTTTTATTTTGAAATTTTTGCATTATTTTAGGTTTTTCATATTGAGATTGATGATAAGTTTACTGGTAATTTCAATAATAGATTAACCATTTCACTTAGATTTCTTATTAAATTCATTCGATTGCTGCCAATACTGCTAAATGTTTAGCCTGTGAAGTTAGTATTTGTCTTTGCTTTGTCTTTGGTTGAAGTAATGCAGAAGAAGAATAGTTTCGAGAATGAAAATCGCAACGCGAAACCAAAATCGCATTGCGATTTTCATTTCGCGTTTCGATTTTCATTTCGCGTTGCGATTTTTATTTCGCGGTTGCGATTTTCATTTCGCGTTGCGATTATCTGGTCGCGATAGTCATTTCGCGTTGCGATTCTCTCGTTACGATAGTCATTTCCGCGTTGCGATTCTCATTATCTCGTTGCGATTTTCATATTGCGATTTTCATTTCAACCAAAAGACAAAAACAGTGTTGCAAATTTTAGTTTCAAGAATAAACTACTATTTATGTTTATTGTTTTGTTTTTGGTATATCTTGACAGTGTAATTTTTGGTATATCTAACTTGGTATGTTTATTGTTTTTTTGTAGAAATTTTTTTCGGCTTCATTGACATTAAGGAATAAAGTTAGCCTAGCCACTACAATTGCTTCGAAGCTTTCACCTGCACAAAGAAAATTGTTTGAAGAAACCTGCTTCGGGCCATGGCTGAGAGTACAGCATCCGGGTGGAGATGCTAGTTTGACCCATTTGTGGCTTCAGACCATGACTAGCGATCTACCCGACAGTATACAACGTGGTGAGGAAGAGATATGGTTTCATTTTCCACCGGCGTATACTTGTTTTGGGCGGAAGGAGTTCTGCTTAATCACTGGTCTACGATTCGGACACGATGATGTAGGCCGGTACACTCGTCATATCACCCGCCCATCATGGTTATCCGGGGTTTTTCCTGATGAGTCAATAGAGAAGCCGAACTTACACGTCGACGACATGAAGAAATTTGTTTAATAAGAAAGATGGTTTTACTCGGATGAATGACGTCGATGTTGTCCGAGTATGCCTTCTACTACTTTTGTATGCCGGCTTTTTAGGCAGAGAGGCTAGACAACCTATTCCTCAGGAGCTAATATTATTGGTAGAGGACCTAAATGCATGGAATCTGTTTCCGTGGGGTTCGTATATATGGAAAGCTACCTGGACTAAGTTGTCGTCTGCCTTTGATGACCGCAAAAGTTTGCGGGGCGATGGGTCGAAATACACTTTGTCAGGCTTTGTTTGGGCCTTTAAGGTAAGAATTTCTATATAATGTTTTCAAAATTATAATTAATTATTTAACAATTACTAATGTTTGTTATTATATTGTTTGTAGATTTGGATATTCGAGGCTTTCCCCAGCATGCGGACATATGCATTAAAATCCTCAGATGATATTCCTAGGGCTATTTCCTGGAAGAGGAAACGTATGTTGGATTGGGAAGACTTAATACCATATGCGACAATAAATAATGTAAGTTAACACAAATACTATCATATATAAACAAGTTATTAATAGTAGACGTTTAACATTGTTTTAGTTTTTATATTTTTAGGAGGCCAACACTCCATTAATGAGACTGACACCCACGGAGGCTGAGCTTGCCACTGATTGGTGGCAAGCTAGTCAGCGTTTTTTGATAGCACGAATGATGAGCAGCCTCCACTTCCTCCACTTCGAGAGCCATCACCTCACCCAGAGCCATCACCTGATCGACCCGACTATACACCTATACAACGAGAGCCATCACCTATCCCGTCACATCATCGAGTCTCTTCTCCACCATCACCTCATGATATGTGACCGACAAAGATGCCACGACTTCTATCTCCCTGTTCTCCACCTCCACGGGATGAGTCAA